CCTAGTGCCACAACTTCTTCTACACCCAGCCTGTACATCTGTTGATCGACTGTTCCAGTTGATTTGAATAATCCTCAGCAGGATTTTGATTGTATGTGATATTAGTGATATTGTTCAATAATTTCTATATTCTATCAGGTCACTTTTTAAAAAATGGGAATAAACAGGAATATCTTACAGAGAGAGGTAGCAGTACATTCAAAGACATGCAAGTGTAATATGTATTCAAGAACAAGTAGAGATTTCAGGTGTTGACAGAGAAGTGTCTAAAGAGACAAACAAGAAAGACCAGATGATTTGAAGACTGAGATTATTAAGGGCTGAGGGAGTTTTTTTGGAGGGGGTTATTTCTTTGTGTGCGTGGTTCCTCTCCACCCCAGTCACAGTTCTTAATTGTCCTCTGTTTCTAAGTCATTACAATGAATGTTAACCTTCTTCCTTGTTTCCCACAGTCTTCATAACCATTATACTAGTGACTTCTAATATTCAGACCCCCCTACTTGTCTGTTTGTTGTACTGTGGTGGTTTGTGTATTACTGTGATGCTGGAAGCTATACCACCATCATGTCAAATATTGACAGTTTTCAGTGTTGCTAAGACACTGAAAGTGTCTATTTTAAGCACACAAGGAAGCAGACCGGACCATCCACTTGTGAAATAAGTCCAGAAAAACTGTAATATTTTTTTCCCAACTTTCTTTTTTCCTCCCAGTGATTCCCCTCCCCCCTAATCTCCCCTTTCACCTTTGGATGATTATACACATCTTACTAGTTATCCTTGTAATTTTATAATAATGGACTTGTGTCATATTTGTCATATTTGTCCTTATGTAGAATGCTCTCCAGCCTCTCCTATGCTATATAGTATTTTTCTAAATCGTTGCTCCTGAGGGCTGCATAGTATTCTATCATTTAAATGTAGCACAGTTTCTCAATCCAGTCAATTGTGGTTGGATATTTGAAGTATTTCTAGGTTTTTGTTGTTGTGAATAATGCTGCTATGAACACTGGTGTACAGATATTCATTTGTGCCTCAGTTCTATTTTCTTTAGGATATACTCCTAGCAGTGAAATAGCTGGGTTGTACAGAATTTCTATGTTTAGCTTTTGAAGAAATGCCAGACTGCCTTCCAGAATAGTTTTAAATTTTACAATCCCACTAACATGTATGACAGTTCCAATCTCTCCACATCATCTCCAAAAATTATTACTTGCTGTCCTATTAAACTTTGGCACTGCTCTTTGGATGAGATGATATCTCATTATAGTTATGATTTACATCTCTCTAATTGCCAGTGATTTTGAGCATTTCTTCCTGTGCCTGTTGGCCATCGAAATATCTTCCTTCATGAAAATGCTTTCCATGTCTTTTACTAAGGGCTGAGTTTTTGTAAACAGAGAGCCCTGCAGGGAGGGGGGTATATAGGCAGTATGTGTGTTGTAGTTATATGCTGTTAAGTTGGAACCAACTCACAGGTGACCTTCATGTTGTTGTTGTTGTTATGTGCCGTTGAGTCGCTTGTGACTCATAGCGACCCTATGTACAACAGCCCTAAACTCCGCTCTGTCCTGTGCCAATTGCACTGTCTCTGAAACACTCATCCCGGCTGCCCCAGTCACTGAATCAATCCACCTCATAGAGGGTCTTCCCCTCCTGCGCCATCCCTCCACCCTACCAAGCATGATGTCCCTCTCCAAGGACCTGTCCCTCCTTACAATATGTCCAAAGTATGTTAGAATCCTTGCCTCCAAGGAGCTGCCTGGTTTAACCCTCTCCAGGATGAATCTTTTTGTTTTCTTGGCAGTCCATGGTACCCTCAATACTCTTCTCCAGCACCACAGCTCAAAGGCATCAATTCTCCTTCTATCTTCCTTAGTCACTGTCCAACTCTCTGATGCATAACAAGTGATAGCAAAGACCATGGCCTGTATCAGACGCACCTTAGTCTCCAGAGAGACACCATTGCTCTTCAGTACTTTGGAGAGGTCCCTAACAGCAGACTTTCCCATGGCAATACCATGGATGACCTTCATAGCTGACAGAAAAAGACTCATCCCATTTTTTAAAAACCATTTCTTGATCCCAATTGGTTTTCATAGGCTCTAAATTGCAGGGGGCAGGGAGGTGGAGATTTCCCATCTTTATTATTTTAATGCGAAACCTATACTTGGACCAAGAGGCAGTCATCAAAACAGAGCAGGGAAACACTGCATGGTTCAAAATTGCGAAAGGTGTACGCCAGAGATTTGTCCTGTCTCCATACCTTATCAACCTGTATGGAGAACAGATTATCTGGGAGGCTGGGCTCTATAAAGAGGAATGTGGGGTCAAGATTGGTGGAAGGTATATCAACAATCTGAGTTATGTAGATGACACAACCCTGCCTGCTGAAACTGAAGAGGACCTGAAATGCTTGCTTCAGAGGGTCAAGGACTGCGGCCTTCAGTATGGATTGAGGCTCAATGTCAAGAAGACAAAGATTCTCACCACTGGACCAATTGGCAGCATCAGGATGGACGGTAAAGAGATTGAGATTGTCAACAACTTTAGTCTGCTTGGCTCCAGAGTCAACACTCCTGGCATCAGTAGCCAGGAAATCACAAAACGTATTGCCATGGGAAAGTCTGCTGTTAAAGACCTCTCCAGGGTACTGAAGAGCAATGGTGTCACTCTGGAGACTAAGGTGCACCTGATACAGGCCATGCTCTTTGCAATCACTTGTTATGCATCAGAGAGTTGGACAATGACTAGGGAGGATAGAAGGACAATTGATGCCTTTCAGCTGTGGTGCTGAAGAAGAATATTGAATGTACTGTGGACTGCCATTCATCTTGGAGAGGGTTAAACCAGGCTGCTCCTTGGAAGCAAGGATTCTGGGGCTTCGTCTGACATACTTTGGACATGTTGTAAGGAGGGACCGGTCCTTGTAGAGGGACATCATGGTTGGGAGGGTGGAGGGACAGCGCAAGAGGGAAAGACCCTCTATGAGGTGGATTGATTCAGTGACTGGGGTAATTGGGATGGGTATGTCAGAGGCAGTGCGATTGGCACAGGATAGAGCAGGGTTTAGGGCTGTTGTACATAGGGTCGCTATGAGTTGAAAGCAACTTGATGGCACATAACAAGAACAACAACAATAGTCCCAAGATGCAGCCAGTATATGCAAACCTCTCGCCTTTGGGTTGGCAGCACAGCTCCTTACCCACTAGACCACCAGAGTTCACTTATATGTATGTGTATATGTGATTTTTTTTTCCTGAGGAGAGGATTCATGGAATCATCCCTCTTCCCCATTGCACACAAAATTAAATAAGGACAATTGATTGGTGAGATGGGCACTAAGCAAGGGCCACTAAGTAAGGGCAGCATATTGTCTAATCTGGTGGCCAATATGGAGGATGAGTTACAAAGGGATAAGGTAGAGGCAATAAAGTTAGTTGAAGAGTAATTGGGCAGGCCTGAGTTGGAGTCAGTGTGGCAGATATTGAAAAGGAGGTAAAATTGACAGGAGTTAACCCTCACCAGCCAATAAATCAAAAGACTAATTGCATTGGAAAAGTCTGCTGTCAGGGACCTCTTCAGAGTACTGAAGAGCAACAATGTCAGTCTAGAGATTAAGGTACGCCTGATCTGGGCCATGGTCTTCCCAATTACTTGCTATATGTCAGAAAGTTGTATAATGACTAGGGATGTTAGGATAATCGATGCCTTTGAGCTGTGGTGCTGGATAAGGATATTGAAAAATACTGGAGGCAAGGATTCTGAAGCTTCATCTGATATACTTTGGGCATGTTGCAAGGAGGCACCGGTCCTTGGAGAGGGACATTGTGTTTGGGAGGGTGGAGGGACAGCACAAGAGAGGAAGACCCTCAATGAGATGGACTGACTCAGTGGTAGGGAAATGGGGGTAGGTGTTTCAGAGACAATAAGGTTGGCTCAGGACAAAGCAGGGTTCAGAGCTGTTGTATGTAGGGTCGCTATGAGTCTCAAATGCTTCAACATAACAACAACAACCCTCCGCCCCTCCCTACTTGCACACACCCATCTCCAAAGGCTCTAAGGAGGTTATGCCTTTGATCCTTCACCTTAGGTCTCTTTTCTCAGCTTTCAAGTTGCCTTCTGGGGACATTTGTGTTCCCTTTCCATGCTGCCCTTGAAGTTTGGTCGAACTTGATTTCATAAGTTGACAGAGCACACCAGTGCTCCATGCTGGCCCCACCCCAGGCCTCCCTTTCCATGGAGCAAAACTGTCCACTGACCTCAGGACAGAACAATGAAGGGGCCTTGAGCTGGTCACTGCCCCTCTGCCCATGGCTGCACAATGTGGGCAGAGGTCAGTTAAGAAATCAACGCAGTTCCAGGAAAAAGGCAAACATTCCGTTTATTTTTCTCCTAATTCATCTCATGCCAACACACATGGTCTCAGGAGATAGCAGGGAAAAAAGGCAGGTGGGGGTCTCCAGATCAGGCTGATTCGCTAGAGGTCCCCTTTTGTTTCTGTAGGGCTCACCAGAAAGGCACCACAACTTAGCAAGGATCTGGCAGTGGTGCCACTAGAGGCCAAGTGAGGAACCCTGCTCTCACTGAGGGAGACACAGTCAAGTGCTGACTTGAAAACTGGAAAGCCACAGAACCCTGAAGAAGGTCACTTCTTCCCTCTCCATGAGTCCGTTCTCTCCTGATCTGCTTACCAGGGGCTCTTGAAAACAGATCTTCCTTCCTCCTAAATGTCTAGAACCGCCCACCTTCTATTAACAGTAACAGTGACCCCATCACTTCTCAGCCTTTTGGCTAAGATCAAGCATAGTATAACAGTAGCCAAGACATTGGAGTAGATTCAGAGGCCTGGACATAGCACAGTTGGAATAGCCAGGATGGGGTGGCAGCTTAAGGACTCAATTTTCAGTCCAGGGGTTTGTGCCTGGAGACTCCCAAGCTAATGGATGCCCATGGAGCCTAGCCAGGAGTTCTGAACCTCAATCAGACTCTGATCAGTTAGTTCAGTTGAGACAGGTCAGAGATGGAGATGGGGGCTGAGCTGTGGTCCTGCATGGCACATACTCTAGGAACCTCACACATTCTTCGGGGTCCTTTACATCTGCCTCCTCTTTCTCTTCCTTTGCTTTGTCCTCTTCTTCCTCTTCACTGTCTGAATCCTCATACACGTTGATGGTGGCCTGGACAGGGAAGTTCTGAAGTAAAATCTCCCCATCCTGGTACAGGTAGTCAAAGGAGCGAGACTTAGGCCAAAAGAGCCTGTACAAAGAGAAAATGGTCCTTGGCTTAGACAATTCTTAGCTGTTCAAAGAAGGAAGTCCTTCTCATAGATACTGGAATAGGGTCACAAGAAAAGGAAAACAGCTTTGCAACCGCCTTCTAAATTGTAACAAAAGTATCAAGGCAGGAAAGCTAGCCCTGGTGGGCCTACCGCTATGGGAGGTCTCAGCCTCAGCAATTATCAATTTAGGCATTGACTCCTCCCAACTCACCCACTCAGGAAGTCTCTAGCCAAGAATTCTCTAGTACAGTGTTCCCATATTCTCCTTCTACTAAAGCTGACATGTCCATAAGGGATCATCTTTAAGGGTCATTGCCAGTACCTCCAAAGTAGGAGAAATCAGCCAAATCTCTTAAACCCTTCTGAGCTTCAGTTTCCTTGTTTCTGAAACAATGGACCAGAGCAGTGCCTCCCTCCTCCAGCTTCCCAATACTATTTTAGGAAGAAAAGAACTAATGGATCTCTGTCAAATTCTGAGCTTGATGCCAAAAGTGCTTACCTGACTGGGTGAGAGAATTTGGAGTTAGCTTTGAGGACCTGGCCGGCTGTGGTCCCATTAGTGTCCTGTCCAAAGCAAATCGAGAGTGTTGGTTCAAAGTATATGATCCCAGAACTCCTTCCACCATATCCCAGATCAGAAAACTGCAGGTAAGATGACTTAATAGAGACCTTCGAAATCTCTGGGAATCGCTCTTGGTTCAAGTTGAAAAACAAATAGAGTCCTACGTTTGTTTTTATCCTCCTATTCCTGTGTGTGTGTGTGTGTGTGTGTGTGT